TAATTCCATATCACCGTTGGGCAGAAATGGAAATAATGCATATAACTCATAAACAATGTGATGATAGTATTTTTATTAAACAACTTTGCTAAGAATTAATCATCATCATCAACTTTATTGCAGCGGGAACTAGAAATATGCATTTCTCTAGTTCAAGAGCATTTCTTGATCTTTATCTGGTCTCTAAAAATTGATCACTTTGACACAAAATTTATCAAAGATTTAAACTTTGAACATAAGACTCATAGAATTATAGCACTGTTATCATCAACGTTGGTCAGAAAATAACAATACCATATTTTAACTTTAAAACAAATATCTTTCTTTTGTCATAGCGGAAACTATGTGCATCTTATTTCACCCACAGAGGAAAAACATTGCTAAGAACATTTCTTCCAATTAAATTTTCCCGTTGGTTCCAATTTAATTGGAGGATAAAACTTTTACTTTGCAGCGGAAACTTTACAATATTCTATTGGAAAACAATTATGTACTCTTTTACTCTCTCTAAGCAATTTTAACCGCTTGGTTCAAAAATGCATTAGAGAAGCAACAATTTAATCTTTTACTTTAGTTCTATTAACTTTTTTTAAAAAAAGCACTTTTATTTTCAATAATAAACCATGATCATGTTATTAACAAAGTTGGTCATAAAAATATCATAATCATTTCATTTCAATAATTACTTTAATATGCTCTTTAAATATAATTCTATCTAAACTTTTATTTTCTTTGTAAAAGAGCACTATTAAAAATTCACGCAGCGGAAAAACATGAATTAAAATTCATGAACTTTTTACTCTTTACAGGAACTTTTCTTTGACAAAAAATAAAAATTCATGAACTTTATTATTTTCTTTGTAAAATTCATGAACATTACTTTTTCTGAAATTTTTCTATTTTTTATTTACAGAAACTTTTCTGTTTACTTGTAGGATCTCTAAACAAAATTTCGTTGGAGGATTTTGAATAGAAAAACTATTTAAAATCTGCCCAAAAATCTGGACAAAAATAACAAAAAACAAAACGGCAGCAATCGGCCTCAACTCGGTCCATGGCCTGCTCGCGCGCACTCTTAAGTCAGCGCGTCGCCCCTGGCAGAAAACGGCCCGGTCGAGTGCCCCGCGCGCGCTCGCGGCGGCTGGCCTGGGCCAGCTCTTCCCCTTTCGGCCCAAAAGCCCATATGTGGCTTAGGGTCTTGATCACGGCCGTCCGTCGCGATCCGACGGTCCAGCGCAGATCTCGTTGGATCAAAACTGCCAGCGCCGCTCGCTACGGACGAAAACCCTAGCCATTTGCGTTTCCCCTCGTCGATCTCCTGTCTGTCCTCGCGCGTAGCGGCGTCCGCTCTGGCCGTCCGTCCACTGCGACAATCCCGGCCGCCGGCGACGGCCACCGCGCGGCACCCTCTCTTTCCCTTCCTTTTTCTTCTTCTTTATTCCCTCCTTCTCTGTTGAAGAGAGAACTAGGTGCGAGCCACTGATCTGTCGCTTTGTCTCGTATGCCAGGGCATCGTGCCGCGCCAGCGCGCCGGCGCCGGCGTCAACCACCACCGCACCGCGCCGCGGCGCCCTTTTCTTTTTAACTTTCCCATCCTCTTCTCCCCATACACCGAATCCAGTGGCAGAGAGAGACGAGTGAGGCGCGACGGAGCCGTTCCCTGCTCCTGTGCGTCCGGCGACGATCTATGGCGCCATTGCCTCCCCTTCGCCGGTGACGCGTTTCCCTTAGCGGAAGCGCGCCGCCGTCGAACGGCGTGGCTGCGGTGCCCCCTTTGCCCTTTGCAGGGTTGTGTTCTTCTTCCCAGATCCTCGGCATGCCGATGCGATTCGGGATCGAGAGGAACGGCGCGGCCGGAGCGGCGGCGCTACTTTTTCCGTTGATGATTCATTCTTTGAGATTTCTTTGCCCTTCTAGGGTTCTTTGGGGAGGGGAAAAACTGGGTTCTTTGGGGAGGGGAAAAACTTTTCTTTGATTTATTTTTACTGTTGTTTCTTTCTACCGAAAAGGCCTAACAAGATCTGGTTGATACCATTGATAGAGTGCTTTGAATCGAGTCAGTTAGATCTTCTCGGTGAACTTACCTTCTCTCTGAGTCGATGATCCCGCCGAGGTGGCCATGGTGGATGGCGACGGCGGTGATGGCAGAGAGATGGTGAGGTGGTGGAGCTTCCCGTGAGCACCGCACTAACCCTAGATCGGTAGGGAGTATCGGTGGGGTTTGTGGCAACGATTAACCTCGTGAAACGTGCCTCGGCCCCACCTCTGTTTATATAGTGTGGGTCACAGGGGCCCACCAACCATGGTTTGGTTGGGCGCCCCCGATCAGGGCGCGAGAAGGACCCGTCGAGCCGTTGGGCTCGATCGGAAGGAGATCAACCTAACAGCTACATGCACGTAACAGCTGACGCTGAAAAGCCCTGTCGAGATGTCCTTTTTTTATTGGTTCATCGAGACCTCGTTGACGATGCACCGCCAAGTCCTTTCCGGCTAGTTAGCTGTATATTAGTCCTTCTGTCTTAAAATTAGTGTCTCAACTTTAACACAACTTGAGACATTTATTTTAGCACGAAGGGAGTATATAGCAGCTAGCAGCTAGGGGAGCTAATTGCCTAGTATAGACACGCAAACAACATGGTATTGGATCAAAGTCAAGGCTATATACACAAGCGACCAAATATGGCGAGGCTAAAACAAGTTAGAGTAAGTTAAATCTCAATCGACTGAGATTTTGCAATCCCGTAAGAAGTACTCCCTCCGTCTCATAATATATGAGCGTTTTTCACACCACAATAGTGTCAAAAACGCTCTTATATTATGGGACAGAGGGAGTAATATACAAGCAAGTAAGTGATGGTTTCCTCCCGTAGCACTAACTGCATCATCCTGCTTGTGTTGGTCGTCGTCATGGCATCCTTCGTGGACCCGATGCAAGCAGCCAGAACTACAGCTGGCCACTGGGTTAATGATATGTCACATCCCTAATTTGGTGTGCACTTAGGCTAGCTAATCATGTTTGCATTATGTTTTAATTTAAATTGAATTTGAAGTGTGGAATGAATAAATCCTAGCACCACATTAATAAACTAGGTTCAACTAAAATATTTTTCAATGAACCTAAAATGCCCTTCAAAAATGTTCGGATGCAAACAAGAAAATACGAAGCTTGAGACTACGACTTCAAATGATCTGGATGTATTTTTCAGTTTTACCTAGTAAGTAGGATCTTTACCGTCTTTATTTCAATTTCTTTTATTCGGTTAACTTTATCCTTTTTATGTATTCATAGCATATCTTCAGTTTGTTCAGTCATGTGAGCGTTTCGGCAGTCCAAATGAAACTGCCAAAACGTCCTACATTGATTAGAGGGTGTACTAAAAAAGTAGACCGATATTTTCTGAATAGGAAAAAGAATTGGATTTTTTTTCCTCCTAGGAATTTTTTAGGCTTGGATTTTGATTCTAAAAATAATACCTGAATTTTTTAGAACTTTGGCACACCCCCATCTCTCCAAAATGTATTTTGAATCCTCCAAAAACAAACAGTAGGTCTCCGTGCCTCCGCCGCCGCTGTCTTGGGGCGTTTCGTTCTGCGTTTGTGCTGGGCTTGTTATGCTGTGCCCACAGCTAAACTTGGGTCTGTGTGTGTTTGTGTCTGTGTGAGTTGGACACTGCCTGCGGTGGCGTTGTGTGGGTGTGTGCCGTGTTCCGTTGTTATTTTGTTACTCTGTGCTTGGTGGTTGCTTTATTTATAAAGCGGGGCGAAAGCCTTTTTCGATAAAAACAAACAGTAGGAACCATCCGATACACAAGATGGATTTTTTGTCACCCCAGGATCACTCTCTCGGGAGCCAAAAGTAATTTTGGTAGGAGCTCTGCCTATGTTTCATTCATGGAAGAGAACAAAACACTTTCTGCAAAAGGTAGAGATGAGGGTTCTCATCAAAGTGTCATTCAGCAACGCAGCTACATAAGAATCCAGGCGAACCTGATGCTATTAGGGGTATAGTTTAGATTCCTGACCAAAGTAAAATTGATGTGCAAGCAATTCTGATTTTCCATTCCAAATAGCACCGACAGTTTTGGTGGTTCGTTACCATTGTACTGAAACTTGCAACTAAGTAGAGATGAACTTGTCAAATACATAACTCTGTTTGGGTTTTCTTGGGTGATTATTGTTACAGGATTCAGGGGGGGAGCCTCTAATATCTTTGGGGGCAATAGTTGAGACTACAACTGCGAAGCAAAAAACAGAACGTCCACAAAGCACCAAGCAACCATGATGGGCTGCACCGTCACCATTCTTATGCAGCACAGAGCCGAAAATTAGCAGAAAACAGGCAGTCGCTTGGGTACAGTGGATGATTCTGAATTTCTCATGCTCAACACAGTAGAAACCCAATAAGATGGCCAGGATATCAGCGCAGCTCCTGGGCTCGGGGCCACCAGTAGATGGACCGTGTGTGTGTCGATGGCCGGAGGAAGCCGCTGCCACCGCTGAAGAGCGCGGCCACCGGCACCAGCAAATCTCGGCATCAGGTATGCACGCTCGCACACCCTTACCTGCCACTTCCGTTTCTCAATAAATTAGACTCGTAGCATTTAATTGATTGTAGCATTTTGGTTCAGGTTTATCATTTGTACTAAAAAGAAGTCTGGGTATGCCAATACTGGTATCAAATCCGTTAACTTTTTGCATAAAGCTCGTTCATGTCAGTATATCTCCTTGATCTGGTCTCTCTTCTTCATATGTACTCTCCCTCTTCATGCTGTGAACTTTTTGGTTTAACATAACAAGAGGCATACAGAGTACAGTGTACGGTGATGGTTCAGTGCGGTCAGATGCATCTTAGATTTCATCTACCATGCAAGACATGCGGTGTTATTCAGGAAAATGCTTTATTCATTCAGAAACAGATGTTGATTGTTATTTCCAAGTTGCAACTAGTACATCCGTACAGGCCACGCATGATCATGCCGGGCACTTTTATACTGCCACCACTACATTGACTCACAGACCCATCCACCGCTGCATCTGGCCATGGGGATGCCGTGGCGGGTGCAGTATGCCGGCACATACACGTTGCACATCGACGGCAAGGTCTGAAGCGACATCCTCATGATCTCAACCGGAGCTTGCCGCTGGGGCTGCGGCTGCATGATAGCTTGAGCCACGCTATGGATGGCCTGGCACCTGAACTGCTCCGGGATCTGTGCTAGCTGCAGGCAGCACTGGTGTCGCATTATATGGCAGCTGCTAAGTTGCCACATACGGGACTGGACAAATGGCAGTGTCACTGTGCTGCACTCGTGCTGCAGAAATTCCACACATGGGTACATCTGCTGCCGCCATTGTTGCCATGGTTGTTGCTGCTGCTGACAATGTTCAGAGCACTGGCTACGGGTAGTGTCTAGCTGCGCAACAGCATCGGTACCTGCAAGGGTGAGGAGAGAGAAGATGAACAAGGTCTTCATGATGTCTGGTTACCAGTTTTCTTTGATATATATATTTGATTAAAGGATGATGGATGAGGATCTTCATTGGTATTCTATTTATAGGTATCATGGCATGATTTGCTGCATCCCATTCCTTTCATAGATAGCTTTGGTAAAGTGTCTGTTTTTCCCCTTTTCTAACTGATCATTTGGTATGATTGTGTTAGGTGGTGCTACAAGTCTAATCTTGGATGATCATCAAATATACTTTTTGGCACATGTTATATGACTGTCATGCAAGATCAGTAATCCATATGACTCATCGGTCATCACTTTACATGCCCAACATAGATCCAGGTTTCATCATTTTGTGAAACCCATTTTGTAATCTCGTATACTACCTTATATCACAAATAGCTGATGTTTTAGACACGCCTTAAGTCAAACGTTTTAGAACTTTGACTATGAGTAGCATTTTAAGTATTCTGTTCGAAACTTTAAAAACCATATGTACATGTAAATCAGATTATATGGCTTGTCGGTTCATTTTAAATTTTAAGGGTTGACCTCAACTGTATGCTTTTCGTGGAAGTTATAGTTTGTAATCTTGTCCGCTGTTCGGCTAGATCATATCAACAACCTTTGCATCAAACACTTGTTCTTCATTACATTTAATGGTTTCTTGAAATGGTCTTGTGCTGCTGTATAAATTACTAGAGCATGACATGACTGATAAAATCCCCCTTTATATGCCATGGATTGTCTTGGAGCTAGGTTCTATGCTATGGAACTAAAATTACTTAACTGAATTTGTTGTCTTTGCTGCTAGGCCTATCAGCCCATTAAGCCCTTTATCTGAGTTCTCTTGTTTAGTGGGCTGCGCTGAGCCAGGACTAGCATAAAAACCTGAAGGAAATATCTGAGGTAAAGAAAACACCACATTTTATTCAGCTTATCAGAGAAACTAGATCATTGATGGCACGCGTTGCCGTGCCCGTCTATTTGGAGTTTTCTTAAATATAGAATACATGAATCATGGACCTTAATTAAATTTGCATCTTTGGCTTATATATTTGTTTGCAATAGAAGATATATCAATCAAATTGATTATGCAAGAAAGTATGAGTGCAGTATGTCCAATGAAAAAAAAACAACATGCTATGACAAAATAGCGTGGCTCTTAAAGTATGCTATTTGGGAATGCAAATTAGCACAGTATTTCTCGAAACGCTATCGCATGGTGTATTTTCACTGAGTATGTCAGGAAATTGTTTTTCCTTTGGTCTAATTGGCCTTTGGTCTAATTGTCTTCAGTTGGTGTGAGGACAATTCGCAGATACTAAAGGAAATTATGCTTCAAATTTGGGACTGCAGATTAGCACATGATGGTTCAACAATTACTTGAGGCATTGTTCCTAACAGTAGAAGATAGTGCGGGAAATATTCATGTATATGGAAGTTTCAGATTCGGTCATTTTGCCTACACAGAAAGTGCTCCCATTGTAAAGTTTACTTAACATTTAACATGGCTTCTATTTATGCCACATAATACCAGAGCCATCCATCTAGTAAATTTGTGCAATCGGGGAACTTAGATTGTACAATATATGCTTTGTAATATCAACTTCCATAAAGGCGCTATAAGACGATATGGACATTATGCTGATTTCTTGTGCATGCAATGCTAGTCTTTATGTCGGGAAAACAAGAAATAAAAATAAACTACTGGAAAACAATAACACTGATCGAACAACCTATACATAATTCACAAACAGAGCTAGCCATAATTTGAGCAGGTCAGTGTTTATCTTGTTGCAGTGATTAGTTATAAATTATATCTCAAATGTGTACAATTGCACCTTTGTAAATAACCAAATTTTGTGTGGAAACTACCATTCCCAACCATCGATTTGAATTGCTTAGTGCTAACAAATATCCCCTCAGCTTCTGCAATAGCAGCAATCTTCTCAAACCCAACTTGTGTGCAACAACAGAATGATTACAACATGATATAATAGTGATATACTGTAGTCCAGACTATAGGTTAATTAACAGAACTTCTGCTATTCTCAACTGGAAGTATTGATGAGTTCTGGACAGTACAGAGTTAACTGAATGCCAAGAGTTTGTAGCGTCAAGAAACCAAAAAGATAACACCTTTACCCTGAGAAGCCTCAAGCCTAAGTAGCCTTTTCCAAGCATGTAACATCTATTTTGGTGGACATAGTTAAAATGGCTCAGCAAATTTTAATTTCTAGCAACTACGATTTATGAATTGCATCATAATTAACTTTGACGGTCGACAGGGGCTACGAGCTGAGAACGCACAGCTCCTTCAGAATAAGCGACGCGAGGTCCAGGTAGACAGAGCGGCAGAATTAAGAACAGTCTGAGAATTCTAACAAAAAAAGCTATCTAAAATCCCAGTGTTATCCATAAAAAAACCTCAGTGTTATGAAAATCTATATAAGAAAAGCTATGCTACTACAGACAACATGGCTTTGCCATACCAATGAAAGTAGCGAAAAAAAGTAGGCGAGCACGTCAAGCTTCTAGCAAACCGAGCCTACCCACGGAGTTGTGCGATTAGATTGAAAGTAGCAGGCACCAAGTTTGATCACAAATTACACCAACTAACTTCTCGTTAACAGTATCTGGTCTGGAATGAAGTGTGGTACAAAGGCCAAGTCAGACAAGATCTAGTGATCAAGTGCATCTAGGAATAGGTAGTGTACCTTCGGAATAATCACTAAACGGTTGACAGAAGGATGTAAGTTTAGCATAACTAAAAAGGATCCTAAGAATCAATAAGTATGTATACACTTCCTAGCACAGAGAGAATGACGTGATCAACAATGGCAAAAGCAAATCTGCACACAGTAAATAACTTGACACAGTAAGACTGTACACTAAGAAAATGATTCAAAAAATGTACAAACTTAATTCTACATCCTCCAGTGCAGGCTATAAAAAACTTAAAATCTGTATGTTCTCTTACTAAAGAGGCTCTACTTCGGTTGCATGACTGAATTTTTTTCTGAACTTTTGCTCAACTTCAGTACTCAAAAGTTCCATTTGCATACTACTGATGCACTTCCCACAGATCTCTTTTATGTTCAGCAGTAAATCCTTGCCTCAGCCCATTTATTGGTTCCTCCTGGTCGTGATCAAGCCACCATGAAAAGTCATGTTGAAGGAGCTGCAGCCCTGCCCGAGGAAAAGCTACGGTTTCTGGGCTGCCCCGCTGCTGCCCGCAGTGGCCGTCGAAGAGGACGACGATTCGGCGGTGCTGCTAGCGAGGCCGCTTGCCCAGATGCTTCTACGTCTCCCCAACTTTATACCTCGCAGGCGGATCGCGCGCCGACTGGATCGATCGGTCCCCGATTCACCCGCATCCGGCGCTTCCGCTGGATCCCCCTCCATTCGCAGCTCGGCTGGATTCCACCGCAGGCCATCCGCGTCGCCCGCATCGAGCGCCCGCCGCATCCGTGAGCCTCGCATCGGGACCGGATGGAACGCACACGGGTCGCTGGTCTCTATCCCTCGTCGATGGGCCCCCTTCAGCGAACCGTGGCACTGGAACCCTTGAGCGAAGTGCAGATGCTTTGATGAATGGGCTGGAATGGCTGGCCGACGGCCCAGTTAACCAGGGGGCTTCCTTTCGGCCTGTGGAGCAGCAGCCCATAGGACAGCTGGGCCAGTTGCGGGAGACATGGATCCGACGGCGAGAAACGTATAGACCGTGAAAATGAACGGCCGAAAATCCAAATTGATGTGAGGGCTCGCTTTAGGTGCGGTTACACTGTCTTTAAATTAAATAAATTGATGGAAGACACAATGGAGGTGCAATCGGCGAAGGTCGACACACACTTCATTTCAGTTGTCAGGGGCTGCTCCGTTGGCAAGGAGCATCGTCCTCCTCGCTGACATAATACTGTGGATTTATTTCACTTTCTTTTTTATCCGACAAAATTTATTTATATATTTATTTATTATTAATTATAAGAAGAGGAGCCTTGGCGCAGTGGTAAAGCTGTTGCCTCTTGCAGAAATGTAGAGAAAGGCTGCGTACTAAAGATCCAATGTGGTCGGACCCTTCCCCGGACCCTACACAAACAGGAGTTAACATGCACCGGGGTGGAGGGAGTATTAATTATAAATATCTTCTACTAAAAAAGTA